TACTTTTGACACTCTTCTTCTTGAACTTCTTTATACTTTTACTTCTTGATACTTCTTACTTCTTGATACTTCTTGACACTTTTTACTTCTTGATACTTCTTACTTCTTGATACTTCTTACTTCTTGATACTTCTTACTTCTTGATACTTCTTGATACTTCTTACTTCTTGATACTATTTACTTCTTTATACTTCTTACTTCTTGACATCTTATTCTTTAACCCTTTTTGTACTTCTTAAATTCTTGATACTTCTTACTTCTTGATACTTCTTGATACTCTTCTTCTGATACTTCTACTTTTTGATACTTCTTTACTCTACTTCTTGATACTTCTTACTTCTTGATACTTCTTACTTCTTGACACTTCTTATGTCTTGAAACCTCTTCTTGATACTTCTTACTTCTTGATACTTCTTACTTCTTGACACTTCTTACTTCTTGATATTTCTTAATTCTTGATACTTCTTACTTCGTGACACTTCTTACTTCTTGATACTTCTTACTTCTTGATACTTTTTACTTCTTTATACTTCTTACTTCTTGATACTTCTATTTCTTGATACTTCTTACTTCTTGATACTTCCCTTTCTTCTTGATACTTCTTATTTTTTGATACTTCTTGATCTTCTTACTTCTTGGTACTTCTTACTTCTTGATACTTCTTACTTCTTGATACTTCTTATTTATTGACACTTCTTACTTCTTGATACTTCTTACTTCTTGATACTTCTTATTTCTTGATACTTCTTACTTCTTGATACTTCTTACTTCTTGATACTTCTTATTTCTTGATACTTCTTGATACTTCTTACTTCTTGATACTTCTTACTTCTTGATACTTCTTACTTCTTGATACTTCTTACTTCTTGATACTTCCTATTTCTTGATACTTCTTGATACTTCTTACTTCTTGATATTCTTAATTCTTGATACTTCTTATTTTTTGATACTTCTTTTATTCTTACTTCTTTATACTTCTTGATAATTCTTGATATTCTAACTTCTTGATACTTCTTACTTCTTGATACTTCTTACTTTGATTTCTTGATACTTTTATTCTTTATACTTCTTACTTCTTGATACTTCTTATTTCTTGATACTTCTTGATACTTCTTACTTCTTGATACTTCTTGATACTTCTTACTTCTTGATACTTCTTATTTCTTGATACTTCTTAATTCTTGATACTTCTTACTTCTTGATACTTCTTCTTGATACTTCTTACTTCTTGATACTTCTTACTTCTTGATACTTCTTATTTCTTGATACTTCTTACTTCTTGATACTTCTTATTTCTTGATACTTCTTACTTCTTGATACTTCTTACTTCTTGATACTTCTTACTTCTTGATACTTCTTATTTCTTGATACTTCTTATTCTGATACTTCTTACTTCTTGTGCTTCTTATTTCTTGATACTTCTTACTTCTTGATAATTCTTACTTTGATACTTCTTTACTTCTATACTTTATTTCTTGATACCTCTTACTTCTTGATACTTCTTACTTCTTGATACTTCTTACTTCTTGATACTTCGTGATACTTCTTACTTCTTGATACTTCTTATTTTTTGATACTTCTTACTTCTTGATACTTCTTATTTCTTGATACTTCTTATTTCTTGATATTCTGATACTTCTTACTTCTTGATACTTCTTGATCTTCTTTATACTTCTTGATATTTATTCTTGATAACTTCTTACTTCTTGATACTTTTTACTTCTTGATACTTCTTACTTCTTGATACTTTTTACTTCTTGATACTTCTTACTTCTTGAGCTCTTACTTTTTGATATTCTTGATACTTCTTACTTCTTGATACTTCTTGATACTTCTTGATACTTCTTGATACTTCTTACTTCTTGATACTTCTTACTTCTTGATACTTTTTACTTCTTGAACATCTTACTTTCTTATACTTCTTACTTTTGATACTTCTTGATATTTACTTCTTGATACTTCTTACTTCTTGATACTTCTTATTCTTGACACTTCTTACTTCTTGATACTTCTTACTTCTTGATCTTCTTTATACTTCTTATTTTTTGATACTTCTTGATACTTCTTACTTCTTTTTAATTCTTTATACTTCTTACTTCTTGATTCTTCTTTCTTGATACTTCTTACTTCTTGATACTTTTACTTCTTGATACTTTCTTACTTCTTGATACTTCTGATTTCTTCCCTTTCTTCTTGATACTTCTTACTTCTTGATACTTCTTGATACTTCTTACTTCTTGATACTTCTTACTTCTTGAAACTTCTTGATACTTCTTACTTCTTGATACTTCTTACTTCTTGATACTTCTTGATACTTCTTACTTCTTGATACTTCTTACTTCTTGATACTTCTTACTTCTTGACACTTCTTACTTCTTGATACTTCTTACTTCTTGATACTTCTTGATACTTCTTTATTACTTCTTGATACTTCTTGATACTTCTTACTTCTTGATACTTCTTGATACTTCTTACTTCTTGATACTTCTTGATACTTCTTACTTCTTGATACTTCTTGATACTTCTTACTTCTTGATACTTCTTACTTCTTGATACTTCTTACTTCTTGATACTTCTTGATACTTCTTACTTCTTGATACTTCTTACTTCTTGATACTTCTTACTTCTTGATACTTCTTACTTCTTGATACTTCTTGATACTTCTTACTTCTTGATACTTCTTGATACTTCTTACTTCTTGTACTTTTTGAATTCTTACTTCTTGATAAATTTTTACTTCTTGATATCTTACTTCTGTACTTCTTACTTCTTGTACTTCTTGAATTTTACTTCTTGATACTTCTTGTACTTTTACTTCTTGATACTTCTTACTTCTTGATACTTCTTACTTTTGATACTTTTTTACTTTTTGATACTTCTTACTTTTTGATACTTCTTACTTCTTGATACTTCTTTATACTCTTACTTCTTGATACTTTTTACTTCTGATCTTCTTACTTTTTGACACTTCTTACTTCTTGATACTTCTTACTTCTTGATTTCTTCTTACTTCTTGACACTCTTACTTCTTGATACTTTTTACTTCTCTATTTCTTCTTGATACTTCTTACTTCTTGATACTCTTGACACTTCTTACTTTTGTAATTCTTGACACTTCTTACTTCTTGATACTTCTTACTTCTTGGTACTTCTTGATACTTCTTATTTCTTGATACTTCTTACTTCTTGATACTTCTTACTTCTTGATACTTCTTGATACTTCTTCTTGATACTTCTTACTTCTTGTACT